ATTCTCTTCGTGTCCAATCTCATTTGTATCTTCTCTCTCATCAACGTAATATGAACCATCGTCGTCGCACTCACTGGAACCTCGTCGTCGTCCACCTTGGCGACGATGACCTTTACTTGCTGTTTTGGCTCCTTTTGCTTGTGCTTCACCTGGAATGATAATCGGTTCTCGACTTCTTGTTCCTAATTTTAGGGAACCAAAATTATTTCAGGAAAGCAAAAATACGGGTAGTATCCAGGGAACAACAGGAATCTATAACTCAGTTGAATGAAAGAGTGTAACACAACTAGAGCAATTAACGAATTTTGAGGTAAATTGAGTAGTATTATGAACAGCAGGATAATGAGCAGTTGTTCATATTTTGATACGCTTTTAGCTGCGCGTATTCAGCTGTGCTGTTGATAATTCGTTCAACTGCTTTGACCAATAGTCATCTGCTGGCCACCTATTAATGATCCTGACGTTCATTTCGTTTGGCGAAAAAATTAACAGTTTAACGATTTATTCTACAGAAGTGCATGCCAAGCCTCTCGGGAAAAATTGATAAGCTGATAATCTCTTCGAGCCGCGAAAAAAAAAACTGTCCGGCTAACTAGAAAAAAATGGCTGAAAGTCGAAAAACTAAAAAAAAAACCGACAAGCAACTTAGCCGAAACAGCAATGTAAAAGCCCAAAAATCGAGAGCATGATGTTTTTCTAACTGCAATGTAATTAGACAAAGGTGGTAGTTGGACGAAAATAAGGAAGTTGTAGCAGTTTTAGGGCTCCAAACCTAGAAGGCGCACTTACTTTCATCGCACTTTGCCAATAGCTATGAATCCTGTTCTTGAACATATCATTGTACTTAAAATATAACAAACCAACGTCTCATCTAAAGTGATTTTTACGAAAAGCACCAGAAAACCTCACAGAAGTGAAGAATTACCGGAAGGAACTGGTTCATCCGAGGGTAGCTGCACTCTGTTTTCGCCTTCATCTATGATGATTCTGTGACTTGCCGGAAGCTTGCCGTGTTCCCCTTCTGCACTACCAGTATGACCATGTTTTCTGAATTTCTGCCCTCGATGACGGCCCTCTTTCTTCTCCTTACTATCGCCTGCTGCTCCTTCGTCAATCTCAACTTTATGTGTTCGATGTCTGTTGCCTCTCGATCTAATTCCCTGCAATTTGTCGAATTCGGCCCAGTGTAATCGGCTCCACTGCGACCATCTGAAACTCTCAGGAAATTTGGAGTAATATTTTATATACAGATAAATTTGCATAAATGATTTCTATTTATTCCTATCTATGTTTATATTATTTTTTCCTATTAACATTACCTAAATTTCCATTTTTCCCTCGGCCACTAGTCAAGAGCTTCGGACAAATCCTTTTCCCGAAGACTGCATAGAAACAAGCTAGTAATTAGCAAACTAACTAACTGTTTATAGGACCACTCAGTCCAAGCAGCAATAAGCCATTTTCCGTCATCCGTAAGATTATGGATTGTTAGTGCAATTCGTTTCGCTTCATTTTCGTCCAGAGCTTTTAAACTGTTGTTGTTTTCCTGATGTTCATCATTGGCCACTTCCTCTTCTTGGTCCGGTACAATATTCGTGCACTGCGTACGACAAATTGTCACTCGATAGCCAATACTAAAACTTGTCGTTATAAAATCTTTTGCTAAAAATTTTCGAGTCTGACTCATCGATACATGATTTTTTTTTAATAAGACTGCCATGTAAACCTAAATGTAATTATACAGTCACGATTCAACACTTGGAAAAACTTTCAAGACGAAATTTTCAAATTTTTTGCAAAAAAAACTAAATTTTCAGAAATTAGTTAGGTGCAGGGTACAAAAAATAATGAGTGGTCAAATTTTTATTTAGGAGGGAAGATGAAAGGATCGCCTTTTTTCGTAAGCCTATTATTTTGATGTCATAGAAATTCGGCAAAGACCCATAGAAATTTAGGGAAATCGCGAAATATTCGGCTTTGGTCGGCCGGCAGTGCAGCGCACAATGGTTTTTGAGATACTGAAGACGAAGGGTTCGACTCCCTATTAAGTAATGGCCAGTACTCTATTTGTATGTAAAAATACCCCAATCCATCAGTTAGCAACCTGTGCTTTATTTCCAAAAATTTAGTGGAAAAAAAAACTCACCTATTTCGTTCGATTCCCTTAACG